CACACACACACACACACACACACACGCACACACAGTCCCTATCAAAAGTCTGAACGTGTTTCCCTTTTTCTTTTACTTTCACACTCAAATTAACACAAACACAAAGATTTGATTGTGTTACAAAAAGTGTTACAAAAGTGGAACTTTGATGAATCTGAATTGAAAAGCACTTTATACACATTAGTTTGTGATAAAGTAAATAAATGAATGGCCTGTTTTAAAAATGATTTATACCATGTGTTAAACACAGATTTTAGTTTTTGCCTCATTTCTGTCCTCCATAAATCACATGGTTAAAGGAGCATTGGCTTAGTTTAAATGTAAACGTTAACCACTGTCTGCTCATTATATGTCTGATGTCATCAGTCATTTCTAACACTGAGAGTTAAAAAAGCTCCAAAAAAATATAGGTATAAAAAATAGTGAACAAAATAAGATGCTGACCACCGTGATGCTGAAACTGAGGCTCCTAAATCGAGCCACCTTGGCTGAGTCCATCTTTTAGATACAGTCTATGCTTTTATGCATGGCTTTTTTTTTACTCAGAAAAAAATCAAGTAAAAAACAAATATGTACAATTAAAGTCCAAAGTAATCAATTAACACTTTTAATAAAGGATGTTTATAATAAATCTTATAATAAAGATTATTTTTTTTATTATCAGTCATTAACTTATTTTGTTAATGCTCACCCTTGTTTTACATCACTTTCAATACCTTCCACTGCATGAACTGAACTGCATAAATACATTTGCCCTGACAGAAATAATTCAGCACCTTAAATGTGTAAACCTGATGAAAGCTGAATGGGTTAAAAGAGATAACGGGAGGTAAAACACAGGCTGAAAGCACGTTTTGTTCCCTGCACCTCCTCACTCTGTCACGTCTAATCCAGCCTCGTTGTGCTGACTGAGGATAACCAGCTTCAATCCTCTCAGTCAGCTCATTCACGGAAGTCTGTCTCTGTCTGTCTGTCCATCTGTCTGCGCGTGGAGGTTTGTAGGTGAAGAAAGTGGGAGGGAGGTCCTGAGGGCTGGTCAAAGTTCACCGCTGGGTCACCTGATTGGCTGAGAGAAGCTGTGAAGGACAGCAGGCATTTACATATAGAGCCTCGGGGACAGACTCCTGTCTCCTCCACTGATCCAGCCTCGGCACACCTGCGCACCACAGGTGAGTCCTCTGACACATCCAAGGTGTTCCTGTTTTATATTTACATTTGTAGATCCTGGAGGGTCTTTCAGATTAAACCTGTCGAGGTACAAAAGGAACTGTTATTAAACTGAGCTGCTAAAGTTTCCTCCAGGAGCTGAAAAGGAGCAAAAGCCTGTGATTCCAACAAAGACACAGAGAGAGAGACAGAGAGAGAGAGACAGAGAGAGCTCTGCTGTGAGAAACTTTAAAGACCAAACCAAAACAACAAAAAGTGACACTTTATTTAATATCCTCAAAATTTCCCCTTGTGGGACTAATAAAGGTATCTTATCTATCTTATCTTAAAACAAAAAAAAATTTCTTCAAAGTTTCAAGTTTCAAACTAAAATAGACACAATTATCTCTAAAATTCAGGATCAAAGGTTCCATGTTCAAGCTTAGAAATAAATGTGAAAATATTAAAATACATAATTAAAACTCACTTTATCTGATTATTTGGGTGAAGTTTGTCACTTGGTTTTTTGTTACTTAATTTAAGACAAATGTGATTTTCAGGACTCAAATTTAAAAAAGTTTGTCCCTGAGTTTAAAAAGTAAATGTTTATTCTTCATATTGTAGGATAAATAAAACTAAAACTAAATAAAACTAATTGGGCTACACATGTGACATGTTTTATTTCTAAGCAAAAAAATGATTTCTGGGACTTCAGACACATTTATGACTGAGCTTAAGAAACTACAGATTTCTCAAATTGTGGATGTTTTTTTTTTTTGTTGATTAGTTTTGATGTTATGAGAAATTATTTTGCATTAAAAAATCATCTTATTTCAGTCAGATTTTGGAATACAAATGAGTAGCACTGACACGTGCTCTTTATTCAGTTGTTGTTATTATTGGAAGTATGAAGTTTCTTTGTGGATGCAGACTTCCTCATGTCGCCCTGGACCGATTTTGAAGATGTTAGCAGGTGTAGCTTTCACTGAGACGAGGTCACAGACTTCTGAGAAGGTTTTAACAGGATTAACTGAGTTAAGTCTGATCAAACCTCTCGGTTATCTCAGGGTAATTAAATCAGCAAGGAGAAATCGTTTATCCTTGTGAATGGACAAACAAACAAAGGAA